ATTTAGAAACTATTTTTGACTTACAGAGAATTCAAACTGTTCCTGTGATAGAGGTTGGGAGATGGAGGGAATAAATGTTATTAAATTTAGACAAAATTGTGCAAACATCATTTGATTATGCGATTTTATAGATCAACCCGGTTTGATTCTGTTAATACTGAGGATACAAACTCCATTCAGCATGAGCAAAAAAGCATATGCATTTCATCCCAAACATTGCCACTGTCAATTGCAACACTGTAGAATAGCAGAAAAGGCAAGAAGGGTGTAGAATGTACTAGATGTTTAGAAACAGAGCCAGAAGGTGATGGGAGAAATGAGGAGTTGATAAACTATTCCATCTCCCCACCACCCCTTTGAAAGCACCAAAGAAGTACAAATGACTAGTTAAATAATTTCATTGTATCCGAAAAAGTGTGTGTGCACACGAAAGCTTATACCTTGAATAAAACTTTGTTGCTCTTAAAGGTGCCACTAGAGTCAAACTTTGTTCCACTGCTTCAGACCAACATGTCTACCCACCTGAAACTAGTTAAATAAAATAAGCTCCAGGCTCTCCGGAGTTTCTTTGTGGATGCTGCAGTTTGCAGCAGGATAGAGGCCAGTCAAGAAAGTAAGGGTTCCTGGGTATAACTCAGCCCACAGATACATTTAATAGTAGTTTGAGGTATTTTTACAATACAACACCTTTATTGGCATATAAGACAATAAATAAGTTACTTCATCAGGTATCATTACACCTGCCTTCTTGAAACACGTCAATATTAAAAAAAACTCCTTACTGCCAAGATCTTAGTCAAGAATTCAGCAATCTGTGCAGTACCTAATTACGTTTTCAGAGTTAATCCTAGACAGTATGGGCTTAATCCAAAGTAATCGAAGATGTGAGTGGAGGGAACAGCATAATAAGATGTGATCTAAGGTATCAGGTTTTCCAGATGAGCAATTACAAATTCTATCACATTTCGGGGTACCTCTGTATCTACCTGAAACCCAAGATGAGGAGAAAACATTAAATCTGGCTAGCATAAAGGCTCTGCATTGCAGCAGGATCACCAAGTTAGAGAAGTATTGTGCCGTACTATTTGGTACATTTCTGAGGTCGAGGAAAAGGCGGGAGCAAGTACTTCTGGCACCGGTCTGGATTATTTGGGCTTCAATGTCCCAGATTCTTCTACAAATTGTCCGGTATATGAAATTCTCATCTTGATTTTCCAAGATGTCCAGGTCAATACCAATTCAACATATTTTTGAGGTTATAGCCTGTGACCACTTTGATACATATGGATCCATAAAGAGTGCAATAAGGCTATTCTGAGGGGCACTAAAATGGATATGAAGCCAATATTTAATAGTGGTGATCCATGTCCTCGAGTCTAAGAGATGGAGACCCAACTCAGCACAAAGGGAATAGTAGGTAAAAGAGTTAGGTAATCCAAGAATACACCATAAAAAGATTGCATGGATTCGATCAATCTCTTTGTTAAAACTCTGAATCCATACAGGGATTCCATATAATAGCAAGAGACTACCGTAGCTTGGAAAATTTGAACGGCGGCCAGGACAAACTGATTTCCTTGTCGGTAATAAAAATGCGTAACAGCCGAAATCCTATTTTTAGCCAATTGGAGCAATTGGTCCCGATGGAAAGACCACTAAATTATAGTGAAACCAACCACCCAAGTACCTAAAGGATCTGACTTGCTCCATTTCTCTTCCATCTATTTTCTACAAGGTGCGTTTCCATGCCTTGGAAAAAACTAGAATTTTGGTTTTCCCATAATTTCCCATAACTGTAAGAGAGTTGTGTCTACAGTAGGAGGAAAACATTGTTAGGACCCGTTTGAGGCCTATTCTGGTGGTCGAAAGAACCACAGCATCATCTGCATACAGTAAGATGGGTATAGATAGAGAGATCAATTTGGGGGCATGTCCATCTATTGCTGCAAGATATGTGGGAAGGTCAGATAGGAAAAGATTAAATAAGGCTGGAGCTAAAACACATCCCTGCTTAATGCCCTTTGAAACAGGTATTTTATGGGTTAAAAAACCCTTCTTACCATACCTAATTTGGCAAGTATTCAATTGATGTAATTTACATATTAGGAAGAGTAGTCGTTGGTCTAAAGTCATCCTACCTAATTTATCCCATAAGATTTGCCTATCGACAGAGTCAAAGGCCTTTTGAAGATCGATAAAGGCAGCATAGAGTTTATCTCTGGGGAAGCAGATATATTTCTCTGCTAAATAAGATAGTACTGTACAGTGATCAAGAGTAGAGTGGTTGGTTACAAAACCAATGTGCCCTCTTCCAGGGAGATTGCAAGATTTCATCCAGCTCAGTAGTTTCGAGCGAAGGTGTTTAGCATAGAGTTTCCCCTGGGTTGACAGTAGGCTAATAGGTCTATAGTTCTCTGTGTTGTTAGGATTACCTTTTTTAAAAATTGGGACAATTATGGAGTTCAGCCAAGTATCTGGTAAAACTCCAAATTTATCAATAAGCGGGCAAGTGGGCAAGAACTTGTGTCCACCAATCAATATCACTCTTAAAAAGTTCAGTAGGTAGGCCGTCAGGTCCTGGGGCTTTGCCAGATTTAAAAGAGTTAAAAAGATCAAAAATTTCATCATATGAGACAGGTGGCTAATCTGGCAGATCAGCAGGCATTTAAAAGTAGTTTATAACAGACATTTGTGTTACCATTTTGTTCTTGCATTATATTGGCTTTTAAAAATTATCCTGATATTTATATTAACATGTTACCATTATTTTTGTAGCACAGCTTGCCTTAAACCACCCTAAGCAAGGGCTCCTATCTAAAAAAGGAAGAAAAGTCCCAATACCAACAAGAAAAGCAACTGTATTAGGTCCACCATGAACATTTCAGTCCTGTTGGAATTTGGAAGGGGGGGGCTAGCAACCAGGAGTAGACCTCAGGAAATGGTGAATGTTATCATTTATCTTGGCCAAATGCCACATGTTGGCTGCAGTCACACACACTAAGTAATCCACTTTCAATCTACCTTCAGTGCACTTTCCAACTGGATTTTGCCAGTTCACACAGTAAAAATCCAGCTGGAAAGTGCACTGAGAGTGGATTATTTAGCGTGTGTGACTGCAGCCATTGTTTATATTTATAATCACCCAGTATACCCATGGTGTCCTTTGTGTGGGACAGGATAGAAACCCTGTCCTAGAGTCGCAGGTGAAGGATATTTCTATAGCACATCTGTTCTGGGTCCTAGTTTAGATACCCAGTCTGGTGATATCATACTGCGGTAGAATAATAGTATTTGTCAGTCTAGCCAGAGAGAAAACAATTGGAATATATCACCTTGGAAGCATGTATTCTAATTTAATCAGTTACTCAATGTAATTGAAAGAATTCTGGGATTCCTTATTCTTCTTCTATAACAGGTGTCCCCAACCTTTTTGAGCCTGTGGGCACATTTGGAATTATGACACATCATGGTGGGTACAGCCACAAAATGGCTGCCGCAGTTTACCTTCTGTCATGCAGTGAAGTTCCTTGTACACCTGCTTCCAAAGCAACATTAAAAAAAACTGCACAGCCAATCAGATCTCCAGAAAAGGCCTCAATGGGCGCCAAGACACCCACAGGCACCATGTTAGGGACCTCCGTTCTATAAGGTACAAATATAATTTTGTTAATGTATAAAAATTTGTTAACCACTTTGTCAGCTGACCATCAGATTGAGCCACAGTCTGTTCAATTTATCCAGATTTGTTTTAAAAAATCAGAATTACTGACTTTCACAGGATGTAACCTTTCATGAACACACTGAGGTGACTCTAATTTTCTTTATCCAGTGCTTGCCACTGTGTGATGAGTTGTTCCTATGTGCAGGAGTTCATCTCACTGATCTGGCAGGGGTCTCCCCTCCCCTTTTGGCACTACAGACATTTTTCTTTTGCCTGTTTGCAGTGACACCGAAGGAATCTAATGTGTGGTGAGCCTCTGCAGATAGACCACTTGCCATGTGCGAACAACTGCCATGTGTTAAATGGAGGAAAGGGGAATGATCTAAGCCCCTTTGGGGGTCCCCATTGGGGAAAGGGCAGGGTATAAGTGAAATCAAATAAATAAAACAAAGAACAGTTTCTGTGTGGCTTCACTAAAGAGGTGAGCCAGCTTTAAGTGTCTGCATTGTTCTCCTAGCTCTGATCTGGAGTTCATTTATATGAAATCATAGAAGAGGCCATATTTGAAATCATAGAAGATGTAACCTGCTGCATTGATCTCCTAGCTCTGATCTGGAGTTCATTGATTTGAAATCGTAGAAGAGGCCATATTTGAAATAGTTGAAGATGTAACTTGCTTTATTTGAAATCATAGAAGAGCGCCCCCCCCCCCCTGGTTTCACAACAGGGACTGTCTACTTTCCGATTTCTTTTGGGTCCAGAGTGGCATGTCTGTTTTGCTGTGTAGCTGTAGCGCAAGGCACATAACATTCCTGTATTTCACTCATTCTGTGTTACGTTGCATATGTAGCACTGAGATATTATTTGCCCCAAGCCATTCTGGGGATTCTATCCAGCATTTAAAATTTGTACATCATCCCACAGAGGAGACTCACTATTTCCCTTCCTGCTTTGGAGGCATTTGTATTTCCATACTTTCTGCTTTCCCACTGTGTTACGTAACATTGAAAGCCTGTTGTATCCAAAATGAGCTCTGCTTTGGAGATTTAAGAGATCTGTAGTTCTTTGGGCTAACAGCTCCCAAATTACATGAGTATTGTTTTCTCTTAAGGAGGCTAAACTGAAAATAAAAGCATGATTAACTAACTTTGAATCCCATGGCTCAGATTTTGTCATGCTGTTGTATGCATTGCCAACATTTTGGGCAACATTCACACTGAGTTAACATTACCCCTAGTGTTTGGGGGATGGAAAGCATCCTTTGCTGAGCTTGTGTTTTGTGTTCTCAGATATTTCTCTATTCTTCTGCTTTCTCTATTCCCCCCATTGCTTTCTGCAGGTATTTAAACCCATGGTTCAAAAGAGAATATAATGTAGCTAAGTGGGTAGAAGATGTGAATAAAAACACTGAAGGACCCTACTTTAGGTATTTTTGTAAATTAATTCTCTATCATCTTTAAGAGCTTTTCCAGCACATTCCAGATATGATGGGACTTCCTATCTTGTATCTTCCAATACAAGTGATTTCTGTAGGTGCCAAGGGCCCTTGTGCATTTGCTGCCTTCTGGTGTCTTTTTTGGGCTTCATTGTGCAATTGCTGTTCTTTTCTGAATGTTTTGATGAAGCCATTGAAAAGGATGTTCATAGTGCATGCATTTCCCATCACCATTTCTAGCTTTCAGTAACCATTTCTTTATTTGATGCCAAGTAGTGTTTTATGGGCATGATCTATGTCTAGCACTAATCAGGTAACGTTTAATGTAAATAGCTAGAATTTAATGTCCCCGAGCTAGCAGCTTCATGATGCATTTCTCTTCAGAGGACGCGATAAAATATTCATTCTCAGCTAGCGATAAAATTTTACCTTGGAAATTAAATGGGAATGACATCTTTTGGGCTTGAGAGAGAGAGAGAAAGGACAAATGTGCCTAGCATAGCCACTGGAGGTCAGTGTAGCAATATGCTGGGAAGAATTAATTTCACTTTGTGGTAAATAAATACATGTATGTATGTATAGCAAGTAGGCACACTACATTCACTTGTATTGGATTTGGATGTTGATCACAACAATAAGATCAAAAGCAGAATGACCAAAAAAGAGAGGGGGGAGGGAAGCAAATGACATGAATTAACACAGCCCACTGGCAATAGAAGCACGGTCTAATCTTTTATCAAATAGTACTCAAAAACAAACAAACAAAAAGTAGACATGTAAGCACATGGCAAAACCTAAAATGAAAATCTTAGTGAAACCACTTATTAAGACCCGCCAAAATAGCACAATATAATTTGCAACCTTTCTCATTCTCCAGAACTAATAATATTAAAGGAGGTGGGGGTGGAATAAATAAATAAACCTCATACATTCTTAAAATAGATGCTAAAGTGGATTATGTTTTACTGATCAACTCTGTCTTAATTTAATTGTTTGTCCAACCTGTGTTTGAAAACTTGCAGATAGCAGGTTGGTCTAAACCAGGTGGAATCAACAAGGTTTGGTAGTGGTGATTATATAGAGCCTTTTGAAAATGCATAAAAGAGAATCTCTTCATTAGATCGTCACTTCCTAATTAGACTTCTTTTGCCCATCCTTTTACAAAGAAGAAACAGTGTAGACCCAGGTAGAGGCCTTTTTTCCATGTCAGCTGAAATCACAAAATTCCAGCACTAGAGAAAACTCCCACTTCATTATTTATTTATATGTTGCATTGGCTCTCGTCATCTTTTTGCTTTGTTGCCAATTTCCATTGGGTTAACTTATAAAGACATATTTGTTTATGACGACCAAAATGCATTTGTGATGGGAAATAATGGAGGGAAAGGAGATCTAATATATTTCAGTATAAAGTATAATTGTTTGTGGAAGGATTTACAATTAAAATTAAATGGAAGTAGTATGAAACCCTGTGAGCAAAAACATGAACAAAACTTGATAAAACTTCTATCTGTTAAGAATGTTGGGATTTTGAAATATTTTTTAGGTTGGAAATAGAGTTTCCATCATTAAAATATTAATATTCTTTTATAACTCTCATGGAAACGGAAATCAAGATGTACAGCGGAAAATCTACAGAGTTTTTCAATGAGAAGTTCTTTCAATATTGTTATTTTTTAAGTTTAGCATTAAGATTATAAAAATAAAAATCCGCAAAAAGCTGGGTCAGGAGGGAAACAATAATGTAGGGGGATGATATAATGGGATATGTTGTATGTTGGAAGTGAGGTAGCTGCTAGATAACTAATTTCTTGGAAATGGCAGGGTATGGGGCTCAAAGCTACAAACATGGCTTATAAGTGTGGCCCCTTCTAGGGTAGATAGGGGAGTTGTTAAGGTGGGTGTTTGGATTTGGATTTTTGCCTGTAGGTGGAGTATTTGGGTTTCATTGGGGGGGGATGTTCTGCAGGGAATTTCAGTTTTGTTCCTTTTTGTGTTTAGTTGGGTGCAAAATACTGAGTGCAGAGGCTGCCACGTACATATAGCAGTCAGCAGGACTGCCAAGAGCCACCCGGACAAAGATTCCATTTGGCCCGCCCCATATGACCCTGATCCAAACTAAATATCATAACAAAACAAATCACTTGGCTGGCTGTTACCTCATATTTATAATAATAAAAGGATCTGCATGTCCATCTGTCTGTCCATTTGTGAAAGGCATAACTCATCCGAAAATAAAACTAGGAATCTCAAAATTGGCCATCAGCTTCAGGATAATCAGAGGAATTCCAGGACCAAAATTTAAAGGAACTGGAATATCTTGGCACAGGTTATCCCCAGACATCCCCCCCCCATGCTATTTGCCATGGAAGACAAACTTGTATAACTATTAAAGTGTCAGAATAGGATCTGGGAAACCCTCCACTCTGGCAAGGACGTTTGTGGGTGATCTTGGGCCTGTCATACACTCATCCTAATGGAGTAGAGGAGAATGATGTAACCTGGTGGTGGTGGGGAGAGCCAGTGGATGAGTGCTTTTTACCTGAGCCCCTAGTGGATGCAGTCAGAACTGCATGAGTTCTTTGACTGAGCATGACCCTGGCTTCAGGGGCCCTCCAGTTGACTTAGGCCCCCCAAATTTTATCCCCTCAGTTCTCCCCTCTCAGCAGCCCTGCCAGTGAGATTTTATAGAGAAGCAAGCTGCATTCTGTGTGACTTGTTTACACTATTTCACAAAAACTAGATAACCATGCAAACGTACTTCAGATCATACGTTTAGTATCTTGAAAAGTTGTAGAATAAGGCAGTAATCAGTTCAGTGAAGATAAATAGGAAATGGATATGGTGGTAAGCGGTGTTCCCTCTAAGCTGAGCTAGTGTGAGCTAGCTCACAGTTTTTTAGCCTCCAGCACATACATTTTTGTCTTAGCTCAGGAAGGATGGGTCCAGAGCAAACTAATTTATGCAGCAGCCAAATCGCTCGCTCACAACTTTAATACCAGTAGCTCACAAAGTAGAATTTTTGCTCACAAGATCCCACAGCTTAGAGGGAGCATTGGTGGTAAGTAGGGATGAACATGAACTGGGAAATGGAGGTTCGTGGTGGTTCATGGGGTCCCATGAACCATGGTTTGCGAACCTCCACAAAATTTTCTATTTACTGAACTGGTCCGGGTTCGTGAGGTTTGTTCAGGTTCCACAGGGGGGACCAATGGTCTTTTGCTCCCCCCGCGAAAGCCACAGTGGCTCTTGCAAGTGAACCCAGAAAGCAGTGTCACACCACTGCAGTGGCATGACTTGCAAGCGAATTCAGAAGGTGTTTAAAAGGTTCCAGACAGTTTCCTTGGTTTAAAAGGTTCCAGACAGTTTCTGCCCACAAATCCTCTTATGAACCAAACAAACTGCCACAAAAACCATGGTAGTTTGTGGGCGGTTCATGATCAGTACGATTGCAGGAATTGCTGTTTGTGATCACACGAGCCTGCCTGGTTCACCACGAAATTCATTTGTGGCCATCCATACTGGCAAGGAGTTAAATTGTCAAACAGATTGCAAACTAAGGCTGCTGTTCTAAATGTGCATAATTTGATAGCAAGTACAATTGAAATAGGTGGACCATTTCAGATAAATCATACTTATGATATGGATGTAAGTATGAACCCTGAAAATTAAATCCTGCCCTATGGAAGCGGCTTCAGAATGTCATTGGGTTAGATTCTATGAATTCAGAGAAGGGTGGTATATACCACCAAATGATAAATAAAAATAAATAAAATAAATACTTTTGCCTCACCAAAGGAAGAAAGCTTGTACCCAAAATCCCCTTAGGAAAGGGGTGGCTCTATTTTAATGCCCCCTGTGTCAAAAAACAGAGAGAGAGAGAGAGAGATTTTCTAGCTTTGCCTAATTTCTTCTGTATTGGTTTTCAGCTTGACATGAATTGGTTTTGCAAGGGAACATTAAAAAATCTGATTCCCCCTACTCAGTGTCTGATGCACTACATTCCATTTTACCACCTGTCTCTGTAGAATGGGCTTGACTCTGATCATTTATGAACAAATCAGAACCAATGTTCCCTCTAAGTTGAGTTAGTGTGAGCTAGCTCACACTAACTCAACTTAGAGGGAACATTGATCAGAACACCAATTCTAGTATGGATCCTTTTGAGGTCTCCAGAGCTGTTTACTGCAAGAGCTGTTCATTTACTCCTCTCCTCTGTTTCCTGTTCTCCAACTAATTAACTAGATGATTCATAAGAGAACCCCCAGTAAGAACTGGTATCTCATTATCTGAATATGTGGGTGTCTGCCTCTATCTCATGCACACACACATATATTCTGATAATTAAATTGTGCTTATTTGGTAAAGAAATATTAAAAGAGATTACTTTTGAATGGAAACTATTTCAGCCTTGTTTTTGGTGGGAAGTGTGCTCTGCTGAATTATTTTAGAGCCACCACTTGTACAAGGAGTGAGAAAATGTTGAACTTTTTTCCAGTTAAGTATAATAACTTCGGAAGACTCTCCATGGCATCAATGAACAAAATCAAGACTGTGTTCCCTTTCCCTCAAGCAATTGGGTATATGAAGCTGCCTTTGTAGTAGTGCACACAGAAATAATTTTTTTTTAAAAAAAATGTGCTCTGCATGTAAGATTCTACTACTCAGTACATACTTTGTATGAGCATAGAATTAGGAGATAACAGGTTCAGTAGTGTATTGATTGTGGATGGGTGTGTGGCAGCTGCTGAAATCCGGGGTGTTAAGGTTCTGTTTACATGTTGTAGTTACACCATTGCTACTCTGAGTGACTTCTGCTTCTTTAATTTGAATGTTTACCTGACCCACAAATACCTCCTAATTGGTGGGTACCAGTCTACTTAAACATATGAGTGGAAGATATAGACATTATCTAGGTCTGGCAGAAACTATGCTGCCCTGCATTAAATGAGAAACAAGAATATTTGATGGCTGGAGAAGGGGAATTAACCAGGGATATAAGGAGTCTACCCCACCCATAGGAATTTGGGGTTAAATCTATGGGGTTCACCAATATCAGGGAGCAGTGCATGAGAAAGATCTGTGATATGTAGAAGAGCATGGTGGGGTGGAGAGATGCTAGTATTTCATCAGGATACTAAAATGTCTGGCGGTCAGTGTTCTTATGGCTTTAGTATTTTCCTGCATATGTTCTAGACACAGGTCTTCCTAGGTCTGTTTGATTCTGAAGGAATCCAGAACCTCAAAGCAGTTCCTGTCCTTGTGTGTAAAATTCCAGTCAATAAAGTGCAGAAGCCTTATTGACCTAAAAATGAATGACTTCCATGTGCTGCAGACATTGACTTGCTGCTGCTTTACCTTACTCACCCTGTACAGAAATGCTGATTGCTTTTACTAATCAGTCCATTTTTGTCTATCTCCCATCAGACTCTTTCTTTGGCTGGACAAATGTGCACTGGATGATGCCTGCATGTTAAATAATTTGGGTGTTTTTAGCACTTTGTATTTTGCCTTTGTTTTTTCATAATTAACAGTTTTGGCCTCTAAACTGCATGACCTTGTGTAATCTAACCCACCCTTTGTTCATTGTGATAAATGTATCTGCTATGTTGTTTAAGTTATGATACACAGTGATAAACTTAAGTTGATGTAGTTGCACATGTGTCAGTGGGACTTGCATCAATGTAAGTGGTTGTTAAAGTGACCTTTTGCTGTGTAATAGCTTTTTAAAAACACTTCTGTTTGTTATCACTCTTTCAACCAATACAGAAATATATGAATAAACTGAAGTTCATCTCACACACACACCTTATTTTTAGATGAATAAAAGAGCCAGCATGGTATAGTGGTTAAGAGCAGTGGACTCTGATCTGGGGAACCGGGTTTGATTCCCCACTCTTCCACATGCAGCCTGCTGGGTCCTCAGCCCCACCTACCACACAAGGTGCCTGTTGTGGGGTGGGGAAGGGAAGGTGATTGTAAGCCACTTTGAGACTCTGCAGGGTAGAGAAAAGTGGGGTATAAAGCCCAACTCTTCTTCTTAACATATTTATCATACTTCAGAGTATTTGGGGCACTTACATATTGTCCCCATATTGCAGGTAGGGAGCTAAGACCAAAACTACATGTGACTGGATCACCTGACATGTGCAATTTATCATCCAAAAGCAGCTCTCTGTGTGGAGAGCAATAGGTACTGTGACCGCAGTGCTGGGGAACAGGAGGTAACTCCTTGCCCCTTGTAGACCAGTAAGTTAAAAGGATGTGTATACAATATTGAGAGGGCAGTGTTGCTTGAAGTTTAACCTCCCTTTCCCTGTGCTGAGTCCCTGATTCAAGATGAACTGCTCTGTGGCTGTTTTGGAGGCTAAATTGTATATCAGGGGATCCAAACTTCATGTGTAGTTTGCCTCTCAGAGGGAGAGGTTTGCCTAAAGCCAACTGATGTGTTCATGGTTGTGTTGAGATTCATAGCAGAGTTTCTTAGCCATTATGTAACCCTAGCTCTGGTTCACAGCTCATCATAAATCACACAGTCCTTTGTGTACACTGATTGTTTAATTTTCTGTATGAAAACAAACACTAGAAGTGGATTTGTTTTGTGTTGTTTTCACTCCCATCCTAAGTAGAGTTAAACCCTTCTGAGTTTGTTGAGGTTGATAAGCTTAGAAGGGGTATAACTCTGCTTAGGATGGCGTTATTAGTCACCTTCAAAGAGTACAGTCCCCTGAGATCGTCTCCTACACAGCCCCAGTTGCTGTCGATGGGGGTTGCGTTTTACAAAAGGGAGCATCCTGACGAACTGTGCCACAAAATCACACATGATAGCTGAAAGCCTTTGGCTTCCCTTCCAGCTATATAAAGCTGCATGAAAGTCTTAACGAGGCTTCAAAGTGTAGTTGCTGTTATTGCAGAAAGACTGGTTATCCCAAGATGTTCTGTTTATTTTATCTGTTTCAATACTTCAGGACTCTTTCTCCTGCAAAGTCCCCATCATCATCTACTGGTTCCATTGCCTCCAGCAGAAAATACCCATATCCCATGCCTCCACTTCCTGATGAAGAGAAAAAAGCCAACAGAGCAAGTGCCAGGGTAAGTTCCATTTGTGCTTGCTGATGGTTGCTGCATGCTTGAGTGAAAGCTTCACAGAAAGTACAGGCAGGGATCATTTTAAACTCTGTGTGTCAGTTATACTTGTCTTGCATCACTGCTCATACCTATTTGGTGAAGCACTCTTAGTTAGGATCAAGTTTCTTTTAATTTTACAGGGCAGGCATAGAACTGCATACATAAGGGTACCCATATTGGATCAGACCCAACGGTCCATCTGTTTCAGCATCCTGTGTCATACAGTAGCTAACCAGATGACCCTGGAAGCCCTACAAGCACGAGGCACACCCAGCAAGACTGGTTGATGTTCAGGAGTTGAAAAGGGGAAAGGAAAACTCCCCAGAACTCTTGATTGACTTTATTTATAGTCCACCTTTCTTGAGAGCCAGGATGGTGCGGTGGTTAAGGTTTATGACAGTGAAACCTAACAAAGTCCACAATCATGCTTAGTTTTACAAATATTGAATTAACAAAGATTTATCATTCTTGTATCAATGGGAACCCTGGTTCAAAGTGCGATAAGTAAGCATATCCTCTGCAGTTCTGAAGGGGCTTGAATGTGTCCATTCAATCACTTTAGCACCCTTTGCATAGACCTGTATGAAAATTCCATATTGGTCCAATGTATCTTCCAGCTTGGCCATTATGCAGATAGCTGCAGTAGCAGGAATATTGTGGGCCATGTGGCACTCATGGCAGGTGGCTTTTTGCCAGTACTCACAAAAGGAACATATTAAAAGTTTGTTTGTTTTACCTCCTGCACTTAGTCCATGTCCAATGGTGCTAAAGACAGAGCAGCAAGTCACCAAGATGTTGTTCAGTAACCTTTAGAAAACCTGCTATGTACTTTCATCCTGTTTCCATGGGAAAGCATTTGCTTTGTTCTGTCACTACTGTTAGTTCATTTAGCACTTCATTTGCCAGAATAATTTGCAGTCTCATTGTGTTGTGAGGTAGGGCTTGTGTCTTGCAACTGCAGCTTAATTTATGTTTTCTAAACATGTGACTGTGGCTCAGTGGTAGAGCTTTGCATGCAGAAGGTCCCAGGTTCAATTCCCAGCATCTCTACTTAAAAGGGTTCAGGTGGTAGCTGATGTGAAAGACCTCTGCCTGAGACCCTGGAGAACACGGCCAGTCAGAGTAGACAGTACTACTAACCTTGATAGACCAGAGATCTGATTCAGTATAAGGCAGCTTCATATACCTAATATATAGTACAATGTGGCATAGATAATGTCATGCCATAACATTTTTACTCATCTTATTTTAAGCATATACTAGGGAATGATGGATTTGCCTTAGGCCTTGCGGTACCAAATTTTGGTGGCTGGGAAGGAGACCAGGATTTGTATTGGTCTTTAAACCTGTCTATTATTATTTTTTGTCTGGGACATAATAGCAGGTTTCTCTTAGAACACTTTACAGATAGGGGGCTAGTGACGAGGCTGGAAAAAAACCCTGAACCCACACATACGTCTGTGGCTGGGGTAGTCTCCGTTCACTGGACCACACTGGACCACAACAACAACAACAACAACAACAACAATAATAATAATAATATACTTTATTGTCATTGTACATAGTACAACAAAATTAAAGGTGCAAACATTTCAGTGATCTATAACAAAACAAATAAAATGAAGTAATTCCTAGTAATGAGCATTTATCTTTTTCTCCCCCTTTTAGCTATGGGAGACTTCCATTTAGTTCCACTGTCTGAGCTGATGCCAGAATGGTTTACTTCAGGTTTTATACAAACTCAGCATCACTGAGTCACTGAACATTCATCTGCTTATTGGACAGTTTGACAGGACAGAGATGTGCATCGGCAGGGAGCAAACAACTTCTCCTGGTGATGGAATGGTCAATTTTCTGCAGCTGACTAGAATTTTGTTAATGACAAGTGTGAGAACAACCAAACAATAGAAAAAATATTAACCTGTGGGACTGAACATGATATGGTTATTCCGCATGATGACAGATAATATGTAGACATGCTGCTAAAACTAATTGGAGTCCCAACTGTGGGTTTTCTCTGGTCTAATATAGTCCCAAATAACTAAAAAAAAGGAATTCAGAATTTGGTATGTAAACATTTATGCTATGTGCATGAATCCCTTTGTTCTCCACTTTCCATGTGTAAAGGATTAATCATTATATCGTAGTAGAATTAGCATGCAGGAATATGAAATGGAAGACTTTTCCACAGGTGGGGTCTAAAGCTATGAGACGCAAACATTTGACATAAGCATCGAACAAAAAAGTGAATTTTTTTACCTTTTGTGATTATATTCTCAGTACAAGAAATGCATATATGTGTAAAAAGTTATAAAATACCAACAAAGCAATCATATATAATGTGGTGTTTGTCTGAAAAATCATCATGGCTGAACATTATCACGCACTTCAAAGATCTGAGTGTTGGAAATAAGCAATTTTAAAAATACTTTGGTTAGGATACCGGCACACTGTCGAGCTTTGGACCAAAATCTATATAGTTTATTCAAACTCTGCAGAGAGGATAATTCAGCTGTTGTCCAGCCAAAGTTAAGCACATTTATGTCCCATTGAATTAAATGAGAGGATATTAGGTAAATGTTTTATTCTTCCTTGGCTCCTAGAGGTTATTTTTAATTCTTAGGGTTAGCACTTCTACTTTGGAACTCTTGCCTTAACATTGATGAGGGTTGGAACTCCCTGCTCTGCCAGAGAGGTCTCAGAAGAGTGAGAAAACCCTCAACACATGAATTGTGCAATAAAAAGTAACAGTGGTGGAAAATGTATCGAACATAGCTGCAAAAGAATGAAGACAGAATCAAAGGACATCTGCATATTTCCCTGCCTACCTCATCAAGATATCTGGTGAGTCAGAAGTAGGGGTGTGCATTCGGTTCATCCAAACTGAATGCACCCCCAAAAAAGGCCATTTGGCCCCCTTTTGGGCAGCCACGAGCTGAATCAGATTCTCTGATCTTATTTGGCCTGCCGCCAAAAGCAGCCGCCAACATTTGGTGGTGGCCCAAAAAGGGGCACCCAGCCCCAGGAAAAGCATGGGGAGGCATTTAAATGCCTCCCCGCACCCTCCCTGGCCTTTCCTGGATTGCCCACAGGGGCGAGCAAGCCAGAGAAGGGTGGGGGGCTCTAGAAGCTAAAGCGGTAACAGTGGTGGAAAATGTATCGAACATAGCTGCAAAAGAATGAAGACAGAATCAAAGGACATCTGCATATTTCCCTGCCTACCTCATCAAGATATCTGGTGAGTCAGAAGTAGGGGTGTGCATTCGGTTCATCCAAACTGAATGCACCCCCAAAAAAGGCCATTTGGCCCCCTTTTGGGCAGCCACGAGCTGAATCAGATTCTCTGATCTTATTTGGCCTGCCACCAAAAGCAGCCGAAATTTGGTGGCGACCCAAAAAGGGGCGCCCAGCCCCAGGAAAAGCACCCTCCCTGGCCTTTCCTGGATTGTCCACAGGGGCGAGCAAGCCAGGGAAGGGTGAGGGGCTCTAGAAGCCTTCACCTGCTCGCCCGCTAAAGCCGAGCGAGCCGAGGAAAGCACGGGGAGGCATTTAAATGCCTCCCCTCCCCTTCAATGAAGGGAGTGTGCCGCCTCTGCGGCGCAACTGGGGAAGATTGAATATTTAAACTTCCAGTTGTGCCACAGAGGCGGCATGCTCCCTTCGTTGCGGGAAGCCTGGGCAAGCCCCCTTGGAGGGAGCCTTCCGTTGACTTGCTCGGGTGCCCCTGGCCGAATCTGATTCAGCTGGCCAAATGAGCCCCGCATTGGCTTAAGTTGCCGAGAGTGGCATTCAGGGGTCATTTGACCAGCTGAATCAAATTCGCCCCGATTCGGCACTGGTACCCTTCAGGTAGGAAAATGCCCTTTGATGGTGGTGGAGCCCAGAACTTCGTGGTCAGAAATTTATCCCTTCTCCTTTTGCTCCATGATATCATTCTAGATCCTTCAGGATGCATAAAATGACTTCATCTCGAAATCAGCTTCCTCTGCAAAAGTGTCATCCCAAGGTCAGCATATGTGTTGATCTTATACTACTTGGTAAACAAGCAGACTTAAGCCAAAGTTGCAGCTCTTGAATCAGTGGAATGCAACAATTCTCCAGCCAAATCCTCTCCTCTTGCCTGTCAGGACGGAAACAGTGCCTCAGTACCATCTGGGAATGGGCAGGCAATATGGGTCCTGGAATGAAGATACCAGTGTCAGGGGTTCCAATGACAGCTGTCATTTTAGAGGCATAGAGTACAGTCACTTTGACTCACAATATTACATCTCACTCCAAAGAAAGCCATGCACTAGGAGCAGGGGGAAGCATGTCAGAACTTGCTGATAGCAACATCACAAGTAATATTGTTCCTAGGAGGAAGCAAGCCTTTGATCAGCTGAGGAGGGCCAGAACTAGAGTCTAAAACAGTTAAAAAAGGATAGGTTCTGGAATCAGCAGTTAGTAGAAATATAAGGAGAGGTGTTCTCAGTTTTAAGGGTCTTAAAGGGAAGAGCCTTGCCAAAAAACCACAGAGTAAATTAAACAGTCATGAGAAAGGACGTTGTTCTCTTAGGGATTTGTAACTGGGTAAAGACCAGGTATTAAAAGATTGAAATAAAAGGATGTTTTTGCAATATGCATAGGATCCCTAAAATACTTCTGTTGGTGCTATTTGAGTGCTATCAAGTTCATAAATGATTTTTGGGGGAACTGGAGTAACACTGTGGGCAGAACCTCACTGTTCAAATCTGATCCATCGAGACTGTGTTATGTTCTTAGTAATTATATCTTTGCAAGGTCAATAGAAACTTTCCAGCCAGAGGGATCTCAGTGCTCCATCCTTAGCCAGATGCACTCTTCCTGACATACTGGAAGCTGAGAGGCAGTGGCTGCAGTAATTAGGTTATTCAAAATATTGGCTACTCTCACAGGAGAGGTTTCTATCAACAAAATACAGTTAATCTTAGAAGGCATATCTCACATTCCTGAAACTTCTGCAACAAGCCTTCATAAAGGACTGCATACACTGAAGTGAAGATAGAAGGGTTTCTTGCCAATAATCCCTATATATTTATAGGTTTTCAGAATGCCCACTAACTCTTGCTGTAGTTGGTCATCCCCCAATGGTACATAATATCCCTTGATGGAATCTAAATTGGGTTCCCGATGCTATGATTGGGATTGCTATGACAGGACTGCTATGATTGGTGTAGTGGTTAAAAGCGTGGACTTTAATCTGGGAGAATTGGGTTTGATTCCCCACTCCTCCACATGCAGCTGCTGGTGTGACTTTGGGTCAGTAATAAGTTCTTTCAGAGCTGTTCTCTCAAGGGCAGTTTTGACAGAGCTCTCTCAGCCCCACCTACACAAGGTGTCTGTTGTGGGGAGGAAAAGGGAAAAGGATTGATAGCCGCTCTGAGGGTACTTCGGGTAGTGAAGGGCAGGGTATAAATCCAATCTCTTCTCCTTCCACCTTTGAATACAATGTACACTGAAATCACCTTAAAGATGTTAATTCTGGTAGTTGTCACTTCTGCCAGAAGCTTTCTTGTTTAAATATTGTTTGATTATTTATAAAGCATCTGAGAGTCTAAGGATTATACAAGCATGTTTTTCTTTTTTGGTTTTTTCTCCCTGTGCTTGTGTCCAATCCAAATTTGTGTTATTTTCTGTGATCGCAAAGTGTTTCTTAGGCATGTTCCCAGATTTATGCCCAAATCCAAAAATTGCAGCTTTGCAGTTTTTCTGAAGCTTATTCTGGCCTATGAGTTCTTAGGGAATCATCTCGTTAAAAAACCAAAAGAACACCTTTGGGGGGGGGGGGGGGAGCCAAGTCTGCCATTTGGGTTGGATAATCTTTGAGGAAATACAGCTTTGATACTGAGTTCTAGTCCATATTTACCAGGCATTATAAAACCAGTGTTTCCCCCCTGCAGATTCTGCCTTTAGGAGAAGGGTACTGCAGAGAGCTAAAATACCACAAGTGTCCCTATCCAACTGGAAGCACGCTCAGGGATGGCATTGCTTTCATGCATCCTGAAGGTTCTAAGGTATCTTCAAAGAGCTATGGGAGAAATGGAAATTTCTTACTCTGAGTTCCTCCTCTCCAGTACATCCACAGAGCATTCTCTCCACGACTGAATTGCATGAGATCAGGGTATAACTAGTCTTCTTCCTAACCGTGTGTGTGTGGGGGTGGTGGTGGTTGGGATATCTAGTTGCCAACTTCCAGGTGGCACCCGGAGATCTCCTGCTATTGCAATTGATATCCAGACAACCAAGATCAGTTCCCCTGGAGAAAATGGCTGCTTTGGAGTGCAGACTCTATGGCATTATACCCTGTTGAAGTCCCTCCCCTCCTCAGGCTCCACCCCCAAAATCTTGAGGTATTTCCCAACCCAAAGCTGGTAACCATGGGGGTATCCACCTGCCCTGTCTTGTCCTGTGTCTTTTTTGAAATGGACACTTCTGTTCTGGTTGCCACTTTCATGCTTCTGTCATATGGAATATTGGGGGGGGCATTGTTTGTAGACTGAAGGATTTAGTTTTTGGGAATTAGAAGAGCACTTTTTGTCAGAGCAGTTTATCAAAGAACTTAGCCCTGCCTCCTATTCAAAGAGGAGGTGCTTACCCAAAGGATCTAGAATTCCTTCTGGGAGCCAGGGGAATTCATGGTAAGAAATTTCCTTCTCTTTCCCATTGAACTCAGTATTACTTTAAATTTGGTTAGTTCTGGCTGGATCATCCTGTGTCTTCAATGAAACACAATTTTCACTCTGCAGTCTGGAAAGACAACAGGGTGGTTATGCTCAGAATGGCAAATTTGCTGTATGTACTAAATACTTATTTTATGAAGTACAGCTGTATGCCATTTATCCTACATGATAATACTTTTGCAGATAGCAGTATTTTGAACAAACAGGAATCATCATCTGAATGGTTTGATAAAATTGCCAGTTGATCTAAATGGATTGTATATTATGTAGAAAGTTTCTTCAGACATCCAGTAGTAGCATACACAGGCAGTTCTCCATTTCCAGTTAAACAGAACAAGCAGAACTCTGTATAAGATGCATGTTCAGAATGTTGTGCAATTACCAGTTGCAGATTGATGATGGGCATGAATAGGTATATTTCCCTTTTAGTAGAAAGATACAGATGAAGCAACCCCTTCCCTTGAATTCCTTACAAAAGACTTCATGCAGTTTTAACAGACACAGGCACTTGAATAAGGCAGCATGATACTGCCAATAGAATTCTTATATTCAAGTAATAATGCTGATTGCCAGGCAACGGTGACATAGAATTGAAGCAAACAGCTAAAAGAAAAATGGGGAAGAATCTTAAAAGATTTTTCCTGCCTTGTGATTTTTTTTTATGAGGTGACATTGTAACAC